TGCTTTTCTTTGTCAGTAGCTGTTAAGAAACTACTGTTCCTTGAAGGAGTTTATGCAGAATTGTAGCTAATTTTTCTTTTTTTTTTAAAGATTTTATTTATTTTTTTGACAGAGCGAGAGAGCACAAGCAGGGGGAACAGTAGAGGCAGAGGGAGAAACAGGCTCCCCGCCAAGCAGGGAGCCCAATGCAAGTCTTGATCCCATGGGATCATGACCCGAACCGAAGGCAGATGCTTAACTGAGCCACCTATATGGCAGCATTCATGTGTAAAGAAAGCTTTTGAGCCTGAGCTTTTCTTTGTGGGAAGTTTTAAAGTTACTAATCCAATCTCTTTACTTGTTATAGGCCTATTCAGATTTTTTTTTCTTCTTGAGTCAGTTTCAGAAGTTTGTGTTTTTCTATGAGCTTTTCCATTTCATATAGATTATCTAATTTGTTGCTATACAGTTATTCATAATATTTCCTTGTAAGTCTTCTCCATGTAGTTTTTAAGAATAAAAGTTTCTTGTTGCTATTAAAGATGGTACGAAGATTTTTTTTTTTAAAGATTTTATTTATTTATTCATGAGAGACAGAGGGAGAGCATGGGAGAGAGAGAGAGAGAGGCACAGGGAGAAGCAGGCTCCCAAGGAGCAGGGAGCCCGATGCGGGACTCGATCCCAGGACCCTGGGATCATGACCTGAGCCGAAAGCAGACGCTAAACCATCTGAGCCACCCAGGCGCCCGATGCTATGAAGATTTTTTAAAATAATGTGGGATAACGGTCCCAACATAGTGTTAAGTAAAAAAAGCAAGATATAAAATTGTATTTACACTTTTTATATTGAATTATAAGGGTTCTTTTATATATTCTGGATATTAGACATTATCAGCTATATGATTTGTGAATATTTTCACCCATTCCTTGGGTTGTCTTTTCACTTTATAGATAGTGTTCCTTGATTCCACTTCTATTTATAAGGTTAATTATTTGCAGATTTAAATAACCTTTACACCGTGATTAAAAGTATTATTTCATGAAATTCTGGTGACTTCTTGCTATGAAATAGCAATTTGTGAATTCTAATGTACCTGTGAATATGCATCTGTGCTTTTCTTTGTCAGTAGCTGTTAAGAAACTACCTCAGACAGTTTGTCCAGAAATAAATAGAAAAAGAATACTGAGTAAAGTTGACTAATTTACTGTTTTTTTTCCCCTCTGCAATAAAATGCATTAGTAAATAGTTTATAATATACTTTATTCCAGGAAATAAAATGGATAGTTTTCTGTTAGTGATATCCCATTATACTGAATGCCACTGTCTTTTTGATATATTGGTATTTTATATACTCTTACAGAAATAAGAAGGCTGTTCTGTTTTTTTGTTTGTTTTTTTGTTTTTTATTCTTTTAATTGTAAAGACTATGCCACCTGTGCTACTCTCCCCTTTGGAATTAAGGGATTAATGTTGATAACAGTTGCTGTGGCCAAGATTCATGGAGCAACTATGAGGGCAGAAGTGGAAATTGAGGCTACATCTTACTTTTGGGGAAAATTTGTTTTAATGCAGTTTCCTAAGACAACTTTTTTCAATGGAGGAGGAAATTGAGGTCATGAAGAAAGGGAGTAGACAAAAATCAAACAAATTTGAATCATGTGATAATTTATTATTTTTTATTGACTTTATCTTTTATAGCTGATCGTATGTTTAACTCTCCATATTCTTTATCTTGTTTTTTTGTTTTTGTTTTAAGCTTATAGTAGCTGTTGAACAAGAAGAAATTCCCAGACTTCAAGCCCTATATGAGAGAGGCCTGCAGAATGGTGTGCAGGGCCTGAGGCTAATCCAACAGGAGGATATAAAGAAGAAGGAGCCATATTGTAGGGTAAGTGATTCACTAACCCCATATACATGCTTACAAGGACATTTTCATTTAGGGCTCAGTCCTGTGACATGGAGGCTGAGGGTGAACTTACAGAAAGCAAGAATCACTCTTCTGGGACAGTGAGGTGACAGCCACAAGAGGGCATTGCCACAAACTCTGAACACCTGATTTCTTCTATCCCTGTGAGAAAATACCAAATCTGAAGAACATAAGCAAGGACAAGAGGAGGTCTGAGACCATATGGCACATTGGGAAAACATTGAGTGGTGAGGTGTGGTTGATTCCCAGGGTGTGTAGGGAGAGATAACAGATGAGACTGGAAAGGCAGGATTAGGCTTGTGTAAAGGACTTAATATCCCTGCTAGTAACTTTGAAGTTAGTAGGCATGAGGAGCCACTGAAAATTTTTGAGGAGGGTAGCTATGTTATCCATGAGTGTAAAGGGTAGGTTGTAGAATATCTTGCTTAGAACATGCTATGGGGAGAACAGATCTTTTATTTATGAAAGAGACGTGAATAATAATTTAATACTTACTCTGCATATTGACTTTCTTTGATAGTCTTTCAGAGGCTATCAGTCCTACCCCCAGTTTCACTAACTAGTCCAACAAATGGCTATATCTCCTGTTCCTCACCACCATTATTTTTGTGGGGAAGGGGCAGAGGTATGTGCTAACATACCAGTTTCAGAAATTCAATATAAGCAAAATATCATGTAGAGTCACAATATAATGGCTTAATGACTGTCTAAACTTCTTTCTTTCTTTCTTTTTTAGAGAGGTAGGGGAGAAGGGGGAGGGAGAGAGTGAATCTTAAGCAGGTTCCGCGCCCAGTGTGGAGCCTGATGTGGGGCTTCATCTCACGACCCTGAGATCATGACCTGAGCTGAAACCAAGAGTTGGACGCTTAACTGACTGAGCCACCCAAGTGCCCCTCCCCCCATTTTATTGACAATATACAATAGCTGGACTCCAGGTACCTGTCCTAGAGAATGTGACTTTGAACTCACTGCCAGGCAATGCTTATCAAAAGCTTGGTTTAATGGAAATAAAAATACTATTTATGAGTGATATTCTGGAGGATATGTAGACCATTTATTCCTGTACATCTACACCACCCAAGTGGCACACCTGCATTGCAGTGTTTTTCTCTCCCCATCCTACTCTTTGACCCCAGATTACTCCCTTTGAATTATTCTTTGGTTTTATGGCATCAGCCTATGGAGAAGGTCATTTTGACACTGGATGAGGATGAGGTTAGGATGAGGTTGAGAAGATAGGTTGTTCACTGTGCTACACAACATCGATCTTTGAGAACCTTCAGGAGAAATTTTTCTCAGACCTCATTCTCAGAATAATTATGTTCTTTTTGAGCACAACTGACTTGTTTTTATCTTATGAACACAGAATCATTTAATTGATTGTGTTGCTGTGTTTACCGTGGCTGCAAGGAAGCTCAGAGACACACTTGTGCCCCACTCCTACCAGATATCTAGGGTCTTAAGCATATATTTTTATTTTTACGTATTAATTTCCCTCTTCATTTCATTGTATCTTTCCACTCTCATCTTCTATCTGCCTTGATTTTTTGGACTTTTTTTAATTGAATCTAACATACAACAAGAATCATAAATGTATAGCTTGATGAATTTTCATAAAGTGTGACCAGTACCTGGATCAACAGCAGAATGTTACCAGCCTCCCAATATTCTCCTCAAGCCCCTTCCTATCACTACCTTTCCCTTAAGGGTAATCACTATCCTGTCTTCTTACATCATATGTTTTTGAATTGTTTTTAGGGGAATCATATAGTAGGTGCTCATTTTGTGTCTGAACTTATTCGGTATTATTTATGAAATTCATCCATATGTTGCATATAGTTGTAGTTTCATTGCTGTATAACTGTATGAAGGTAGAGGTCAAGGTATGTTTTTGAAGTCCATTGTATAAAGGTAGAGATCAAGGTACATTTTTTTTTTTTCCCAATCTGGATACCCAATTGACTCAGCACCCATTTATCAAAGAGACCATTATTTCCCCGCTGCACTGCACTGTTACCTTTGTGATACCAGGTGACTGTATGTATGGATTCTATGTCTGGACTCTGTTCTGTTCCATTGTCTCTTCTTTTACCACTACTGTAATGTCTTAATTATCATAGTTTTTTAGTAGGTTTAAATATCTGGTCGGGAAATTCCTTTAACTTTGTTCTTCTTCAACATTATCTTGGCTGTTCTTAGGGATCTTTATATTTCTATATATATTTTAGTATTATTTTGCTAAACCCCACAAGGTTGCCTTTTGTGATTTTGATTGAGTTTGCATTAAATTTGTAGGTCCATTGGAGACAATTTGTATCTTCACAATATTGCATCTTCCAATCCAGGAACACAGTAGATCCATCCATTTATCTGTATCTTCTTTAATTCATTTCAAAAATGTGTTATAATTTTCAGTGTAGAGGTCTTTCATATCTCTTAGATTCATTTCTAGGTATTTGATGGTTTTTGATACTCTTATAAATAGTATTGTTACTTAAAGTTCATTTTCTCCTTGTATGTTGCAAATATATGGAAATATAATTGATTTTTGACCTTTCATCCATCTTGGATGTTAAATTCACATATTGATTCTAATAGTTTGTCTATAATTTTGGGGGGATTTTCTTTTTTTTTTTTTTAAAGATTTTATTTATTTATTTGAGAGAGAGAGAGTACATGAGGGGGGGAAGGTCAGAGGGAGAAGCAGACTCCCTGCTGAGCAGGGAGCCCGATGCGGGACTCGATCCTGGGACTCCAGGATCATGACCTGAGCCGAAGGCAGTCGCTTAACCAACTGAGCCACCCAGGCGCCCTTGGGGGGATTTTCTATGTAGTTGTATTGTCTGCAAATAATAACTGATTTTTTCTTTTCCAATTAATATACTTAGCTGGCTCAATGTTTAGTGCTGGTATATATTGTGTTGTGTTCCTTGTTTGTTTTTAGAAGCTGCTTCAAATCCTTTCTGCAAAAAAGACAAAGTAGAAATAGATTTTTCCCCCCTGAAGTTATCTTTAGTTATACAGTAAAGTTGGGTCAAAATATATGATTTTCTTTTTCTTTTTTTTTTTTAAGATTTTTATTTATTTAAGAGCACAGGCGGGTGGAGGGGCAGAGGGTGAGGGAGAGGGTGAGAGCAGACTTCCCACTGAGCATAGAACCTGATGCAGGGCTCGACATGGGGATCAATTCGGGGATTGATCCAAGGAACCTGAGATCATGACCTGAACCGAAGTCAGATGCTTAACCAACTGAACCACCCAGGCACCCCAAAATATAAGTTTTCTTATTTTTTTTAAAGATTTTATTTATTTATTTGAGAGACAGAGACAGATAGTGACAGAGATAGCTAGAGAGAGCATAAGTGGGGAGGAGAGGGAGAAGCAAGCTCCCTCTGAGCAGGGAGCCTGATGTGGGGGCTCGATCCCAGGACCCTGGGATCATAACCTGAACTGAAGGCAGATGCTTAACCGACTGAGCCAACCAGGCGCCCCTAGGTTTTCCTAATTAATATAAAGTTACTAAGAGGCTGATAATACCTAGGATTCCAAATAATGTTGAATGAGTTCTTCCTCCAGAGGTCATAGCATCTTCAGCTCCAGCATATCCCACCTTTCCTTTCCTTTCCTTGGGTCTCAAAATAATCAAAGCGTTTTGCTTGTGGGATACCTAGACCTTCTATTCCCTATTCCTTTCTCCAGGTATTTCTTGTCTCTCTGAGATCTTGAATGAATGACTGATTTTTTTCTTTAAAACAAGACACATTTATTGAATATCTTATTTTGGCTGTCTGTTTCTTTCAGGCTTTGGCCAAATGCTACATGGTCTAAGCCAGGGTTGGCAGTACGGTCTGTGGGCCAAATCCAGCCTGCCACCTGTTTTTTATGGCCTATGAACTAAGAATAGTTTTTACATTTTTAAATGGTTGAAGAAAATTAAAAGAATCATATTTTGTGACACATGAAAATTATATGAAATTGAAATTTCAGTGTCCAAAAATATTTATAGGAATACATGTATTTTTTGTATTGTCTATGGCTGCTTTTGTACCAAACAGCCAAACTGAGTAGTTGCAGCAGAGATCATAGGTCCCATGTAAAGAAAAATATTTAGTGGCTGGCTCTTTACAGAAAAGATTGCCAACCCCTGGTCTAAATAGTAGGGAACCACTGAAGGATTTGAGCAGAAGAATGGCATGTAAAATGTGCCAATTGAGGAGAGTTAGTCAAGTTTCTGGTACATAGGATGGAATTGGACTGGACATGGGAAAGAGGGGAGCCTTGAATTAGAGGCCAGACCCAGCTGGAACAACAGTCATAGTCTGTGGTGGAACTTCGTGAGGGGATTTAGAGAGAGGAAGAAATGGGAAGAGGAGCCCATGCTTTATATCATGCTTGACTGTTACAAAACAAACAAAGCAGCTTTTCACACATCATCAGGTGAGTCTGGATAGTGTTCTGTGTACCTCACCATGTGATCTTCACAGGTCTCAGAATGAGTAGATGAGCTATGTGTACATAGATAGTCAAATTATATGTCTACCTGTATTTTTTGTGTCTTATAAATGAGGAAAGCGATTCAGTTACTTTCCCAAGGTCACACAGCTCCTAAGAGTCCCTGACCCCAGATCTGATTCAGAACTGGTATTTTTTCTGTTCAGTTCAGCCAACATTTTCTTCTTTACTATGTGCCAAACGCTGTGTTAGGTACTGCAGGAATGAGGATGGGTCAGATATGGTGACTGGCCTAAAGAAAGGTGTAGTGTAGCCGAACATGAGATTCTAATACAGTGCAAAGTATTTTGATAGAGTTGATAAACTGTCTTGTATCTATCTTTGATAGAGCTGGTACATTATCAATGTAAGGGGAAGCTTTTAGCTTAGTCTAGGCGTTTAGGAAAGCCTTCTTGAGGTGAACCTTCACTTGAAAGATGAGTAAGGAGTGTAACTTATAAAGGAAATACAACCTGCTTTTCTCTGAGGCCTCTGCAGAGCTGATCTACTTTAGATAATGCCACATTAGCATTATCTGACACTTTATGTGATGCCACATTATAATTATCTATGCCTAGGTGTATTTAGTGGTAGCAATGTGTAGTGGAAAATGGTTATTTCATAAAGGTCTCTGAGTGAACCCTTCCTGGTCTTTCAACCCTACTGCTATTACGAGGAGTAGGGGCAAAATTTCTATAGTATGGGTTCATTTCTGTTTTCTCAAGCCTCTCCAGAAAGAAAAAGTTTATCGGGGCAGCTCTAAAGGGCTTTTTGGACCAGATGTCTTTAAGGAGCAGATTAAATAGCCCCAAGGGAAGCATCTTGGAAATTTTCGTAAACTTTGTCTTTGGAGGATAGCTCTCGACAGTTCTCTCTCTGGGCAGATCCTGACTGCACACTCTGACCTTAGCTTTCATGAACTTTTTGCCTTTTCTTTAACACTGTTGGTCAACCACACGTTCATCTGTTCCTCTCTCCTCCTGACTGACTTCCAACTCCCAGCCTTTTATGTCCTGCTTGCCTAGTTCTTTTCCAGCCACCTGACCTGCAGTAGCCTCAGATTTCAAGCTCTGACCTGCTAACCTGTTCAGTGCATGCCCAGCCTCCTGGCTGACAGCCCGCCTGTCTACCAGCCCCGTCCTGGGCCCAGGGCGTTGAATTGCTTAGCCACAGTGACTCACTCCACCTTCCTCCAACCTATACGTATAGTGGGGCACAACAGCATCTCATGAGCAGGAACAAAACCAAGACTAGAAGGAGAAAGAAAGAAGGGAAACCTTTAAGGGAAGGCCTAGAGCGGAGAGAGATCTAGTATGTTTAAAGACAGCCCTCAGAAGTTCATTCATTCAGTAAAAGTTTGAGTGCCTTCTGTGTGTCAGGCATTGTGCTGGGGAATAGGAAAAATAAGATGAATTAAGGAAGATACTGGGATTCCAAAAAACGATTGATACGAAGCACTTTTATAGCCTGTTTTTATCCCTCTTTTATTTGTCATGTAGTTTTATGTAAGGTGAGAAGTTTTTGTGACTAAGCTCTTGGTATTATCCTGTTAGTTTCCAAGGTTATTGTACCCCAAATACTATTTATAGTTTGAAGTTGGATTATGACCATTGACTTGTGAATTTGGAGGTGGTCAGGCAACATAAGATCGAATGTAAAAATCTTAAATGTGTATCTACTACATCAAGACAGAAGGAATGATTTCTGTGTTTGGCAAATGATCTCATATTCTGGAAGCAAGAATCAAGTTTCTCAAATGTTGCTTTCAATTTGTGACAAGAGACTATTGTGTGTTTTGTGAGCCTTTACCCCTAGTGTGATCTGGCCATTTGGAATTAGTGAGCAGGGATGGGTGGCAAAGTCAAAAGCTTTTAGAAGTTAAGCAGGTAGGGCGCCTGGGTGGCTCAGATGGTTAAGCGTCTGCCTTCAGCTCAGGTCATGATCCCAGGGTCCTGGGATCAAGTCCTGCGTCAGGCTCCCTGCTCCTTGGGAGCCTGCTTCTCCCTCTGCTTCTCTCTCTCTCTCTCTCTCTCCCCCTCTGTCTCTCATGAATAAATAAAATCTTTAAAAAAAAAACATAAAAAAAAGAAGTTAAGCAGGTAAATGTATTGGAGTAGGGTTGGGGCTGACTACAAGAATGAGATATTTAAAATAATACTATCAGATATTATTGTAAAACTGCAACAATACCAGTTCCATGCTGGTCAGATGAGAGGATGGCAGCATTTACCAGTTACACACAGTTTCTGGGCATTAGTTGTCCTGGGGACCCAGGCTACCACCCTCTTAGGGAAAACTGATTGGGAGAACTGATATACTCATATAAATAGTAAGGGAACAGAAAATGATGCTGTTTCCAAGGATTCACCAAAATCCAGTCAATACTTGGCGTGTCATATTCTGTTCTTAAGAATTAGAAAAGCCAACGCACATTCAACATTTATTCCAAAACATTAAATAAGTATGATTGTAGATCATTCATCTGTGGAGTTTGAGCATGTCTTGAGTGGCAGAACAAAAGCAAAAAACCCCACAAAACAACAACAGCAACACAACAACAACAAAAAACTCAGGCTATTAATTTCTCTATTACCTGAAGAGGAAGTTGGAGTTAACCACATAAAATCTCCATTCAATATTTGTAGTCCTGAAGCAAATCAAATCAACACTCTGCAAATATTGTAGCCTGCCACCTGTTTTTTATGGCCTATGAACTAAAAATCTCAGTGGAGTTTATTTAAAACAATCATTTGGGGCACGTGGGTGGCTCAGTCATTAAGCGTCTGCCTTCGGCTCAGGTCATGATCCCAGGGTCCTGGGATCAAGCCCCGCATCGGGCTCCCTGCTCAGTGGGAAGCCTGCTTCTCCCTCTCCCACTCCCCCTGCTTGTGTTCCTTCTCTCGCTGTGTCTCTTTCTGTCAAATAAATAAATAAAATCTTAAAAAAAAATAAAAACAATCATTTGGTGATACAGAATTTGACTCAGAATCATATGAATCAGAATCAGGTATGGTGAGGGATGAATAAAACTGAAAAACTCATTGTAGCAGCCAGAAGAACCCAGCAAAATTAACTCCCCTACAGAGGAGAATTATTTCCTGAGTACAAGAGATTTTCTTATTTAGCTAGTATTATTTCTTTTACTTGTTAGACATATTATTCAACATCAGATTTAGGCACTGAATTTTTGCCAAGAAATGATAATGTATGTAATCCATCAAAATTAACAGTAAAAAAATTCAGTGCCAAATAAAATTTGTTGAACAACCTATCCTCGATTATTTTTAATTGTATGATCTTGACTTTCATAATCCTATCCCAGGGTCTAATGGCTATTGATTGCCCATACACCGGCATTGTGGACTATCGGCAGGTGGCTTTGTCATTTGCCCAGGATTTCCAAGAAGCAGGTGGCTTTGTCTTAACCAATTTTGAAGTAAAATGTATTGAAATGGCTAAAGAAAGTCCATCAGGAAGTAAAGATGGTAAGCCATCCTTGTCTTTTCTTTTGAATACTTGTATTGACTTCTTTTTTTGTTTTTGTTTTAGATTTTATTTATTTGACAGAGAGAGAGAGCACAAGCAGAGGGTGCTGGAGGCAGAAGGAGAGGGAGAAGCAGGCTCCCCGTGGAGCAAGGAACCCAATGGGGGGCTCGATCCCGGGGCCTTGGGATCTGACCTGAGCCCAAAGCAGACACTCAACCGACTGAGCCACCTAGGCACCCCACTTGTATTGACTTCTAAACCAGCTATTTTTGGCTGGGGTGGTACTGGTAGGAGGGCCACCAGGAGCTAGGCTAAAGTAGGGTGCAGAGCTGGATGCAGGTGCAAAAAGGATGAATGTGAGATTGGATGTGGGAGAACTGGGGCTTCTGGTGAGTCTTGAGCTGATAGAACTTGGCACTGATTGGACACTACTGACTGGCGCTAAAACCTGACCTGCCAAGACTGTTAATGAAACACTAGCCTCTAGACACTTACTTATTTTGTAGATATATAGTCAGAATCCCTTGGGGATGCTTATTAAAAATGCAGATTTCAGGGCGCCTGGCTGGCTTAGAAGAGCATGTGACTCTTGATCTCGGGGTTGTGGGTTTGAGCCCCATGTGGGGTGTAGAGATTACTTAAAAATAAAATCTTTAAAAAAAAATGCAGATTTTAGCATCACCCAGTCTTAATGAATCAGACTGTCAGGAGACAGGGTATGACTCAGCCATTTTGAACTCTCCCTGCGCCCCACCATTGTAGACTACTTAGAGTTTGTTTTGTTTTGCTTCGTTTTGTGGATAATTTTTTTTTAAAACCAAATAAATTGGTTTGTAACCTTGAATTTTTTTGACATTTTTGCTATTGGGAAATTTGAAGGAGAAAAAGTATAGTGTTCAGTTCTTCCTTAACTGGTTTTTATTTATTTTATTTATTTTAAGATTTTATTTATTTATTTGGCAGAGAGAGACACAGCGAGAGAGGGAACACAAGCAGGGGGAGTGGGAGAGGGAGAAGCAGGCTTCCCACCGAGCAGGGAGCCCGATGCGGGGCTCAATCCCAGGACCCTGGGATCATGGCCTGAGCAGAAGGCAGACACTTAACGACTGAGCCACCCAGGTGCCCCCCTTCACTGGTTTTTAAGGAGATTTGGGCCATTTGAATCATTCTCCCAGTGTCCTTCTAAATACTAATATGATGAGCAAAATTGTTAAGTAATTAAGATTGGTATAGGTAGGTAGCATAAAATCAAATTTATGATCCAAGCAAATCATATTCTTTGTCTGGTGTACATATGCTTTTTAAGACTTTGAGATCCCATGTGCCTGATTGGGAACTAATTTTATAAATAGTTTATTATTGGAACTTTTTGTATTGTGATAACTCTTGCTTCTCTATGCAGCCTAGGATCTGCAAAGATTCAGCCTACAGCACTTAGACAAAAAGCACTCATTAGTCCTTTGCAAAAATACATACTAATTAATGATGATCAGCGTTGCGCAGTGGCAGTATTGTAGCCAATGAGGTTTATCCGAGGTGTGATTATTGCTAATTGATTAATGATGATCTATCTATTTTACAGCTTGGTTTCTAGGATTGTAGTTCAGAGAAAAGCTGGCACTGCCCATGTAGGATCTGAGGTGGGGAGTGGCTTATAAGCATAGACTAAATGAATTAAAACAAGTTTAAAAAGAGGCCAGAGTTTTATATATTATCAAATATGAACTAGTTTAATCTTGTTACTTCATAAAAAGCTTTAGAATGAAAAGTGGGAGGCACTCATGGTTACAAGATAAGAAAATTGTTTACATTTGTTACTAGTATAATATTTCAAAAATGTAGGCCCTCTTTTACTAAAAATAAATCTTTCACTAATTCTTTCTTTTTTTTTTCAGGGACGAAATATCCAATCGTTATAAGGAATACAAAGGTAAAGATTCTTAAATAACACTACTTGCATCTACTTTATCTACTTTCATTCCCTCTCCTCCCATAAAAGTTGAATTAATCACAGTGCTGTTTTCTGTGTCCTTGGATGAATTTTGTCTAATGTAGAAGTTATTCTGAGAGAAATTCTTTGAGAGCAGTTTAAAAAAGCTTGCTTTTTAAGAAGGGTTTCAATTGAAAATACCTTCACAAAGTAAGTGTGCCAGCGAAGAATACGATTATAAGCGCTTGGTATATTTAAGGCAAAACTGATAAATATTTTATTGCTCCGCCTACTTAGCTGCATTAACTTATTAACTCTCTCCCAGTTAGAGGACTTTGGTGGAGGGCAGATTGCTTAGAGGGAAATGAACTGCTTTCCTTCATCTCCATGTAGTCTAAAACAAGAGCTATTGAATGGCACAGAAGCATTGCATTTGCTGTATATTCTCTGATCAGAGTTCAGTCACGTGAGTAGAGTCATTAATGAGGTTGTAGGATTTATTACAGGAATTAGGTCTTACACAATTGTGAAGGGATCTGGGGAAGCACAGGTTCAGAAGGGGAGTTGGTAGATCAGAGGCATCTCCAGCCAGTCTGTGAAGCTAAGTGTGTCCAACTGCTAAAGTGGGACTGCAAATGGGAAGCTCATGAAGCATTCTGGGGGAGCTCTTGCCTCTCACCCAAGTAGTGGGAGAGGGCAGCACTTGGTCAGTAGGATCGATAGTTGGGAAACAGAGCTAGATATGGAGCTGTAATTCACTTAGCAGTGGGTTTTTGTCACCACACTGGACTGGAATGACCTTCAGAGAATAATGGCTGCTGCTTTACTTCTGCCTGCCAAATCATATGCAATTCCTGTTTTGGTCAACTTTAAGTTGGAACCATTACAAGGAAGGGGATTCTATCAGTTATAGTTCCCAGCTCAACCAAACTGACAAGGTTAAACACCCGCAGTCCATCCCTTTTCAACTTGGCATCCATTTACTTATGACCACATTTAACTACCAAATACAGACAGTAGCAAAAATTATGATTCCACCTACACGATGCAGCTATCTTTTATACAACTGAAGGTATGCTAACTCTCCAAAAGAGACATGAAGTCCACTCAATCCATCTTTGGGTGATTTTCATTTCTTTTTAGCTGAGTCACATTCCCTCTTCGAGATCCTTTAACTTAAATACTGAGATGTAAGGTTACCCACTTCTTAAATATATTAGATCAGTAGCTCTCAACTGGAAGTGATTTTGCCACCCAGGAGATATTCAGCAATGTCTGGAGACATTTTTGGTTGTCACAATTGATGGAGGGGGTCAGCGCTACTGACATTTAGTGGGTAGAGGCCAGGGATGCTGGTTGTGAGGGATGGGCCCCCACAACAAAGAGGTATCTGGCCCCAAATGTCAGTGGCACTGAGATTGAAAAGCCCCGTGTTAGATAATGGAGAAATGGTAGGGATGGGTGTATCAGTCTTCTTGTTTATCATATACCACAGCCTGGGTGGCTTAGAGAGCAGAAATTATTTTCTCACAGTTCTGGAGGCTCGAAGTCTAAGAACAAGGTGCCATCAGACTTGGTTTCTGGTGAGATCTCTCTTCTTGGCTTGTAGACGACTGCCTTCTTGTGGGGTCCTCATGTAGTCTCTTCTCTGCGCGTGCACATATGCAGAGAGAGCAGTCTCTATTATCTTACTCTTAGAAGCACACCAGTCATTCCAGACAGATTAGGCGACCTCATATAATCTTAACTACCTCTGAAAGGCTCTGTCTCCAAATACGGTCACCTTAAGAGCGGGGACTTCAACATATGCACTTGTGGAATTACGGACACAGTTCAATCCGTAACAATGAGGAGAAAGAAAGAATTGGGTAATATATAGTCAAATATATTTATTTCAAAGTCAGAAAGAAATAGTCATAACCACTACATTCTTCATTTCCCTCACTGATCACATGGTTATAGCTGATATTTATAATTTCCTCCTACTACATATTTCATAGCTCCTTTGCCCTTGGCAAGCATCTCAGCTAGTCATGTTCCGGTTTGGTGGGATAACTCAAACTTTCATTCCTGAAGTGTCTGTGCCATTAGTAGCCCTGCCTATTTTGGGTTTTGGTGGTTTCCATTAACTTTTATATCAATCTGTGGAAATACTAAGAGAGACCCCCGGGAGATATATATTTGGGACATATTTCTCTTTATCATCCCTAGCACTCTCTGTGTGGTAGCAACCCTAATTCTCCTTGAGACTCATTTCCACTTTCCCCCTTCAGTACAGTAATCCTTTCTGCCTGTTGATTCACTGATACAAGGAACCCAAAGTGGTCAGGTATGGCAATATCAACTTAGGGGATAATGGAACGATTTTTTATTCTCTAATGAAGCATTTCTCCTTTGGGAATCAAGACTTCTAAACATCAGAGACCAGAATTGTGGGGATAGGAAGCAAAAATTTCACTAGTGAATTATTGTAATAGTAAGGAGCTACTCCCATTTCTGCCATTTCTACTTCTTGATTTCTAAACCTGTAAATCCTGGCTCTGAGTGAAGCAACACCATATAGTAATCATATAGAGCATCCTGAAAGACATTGCCCCAGCCCTGCAAGGTGTTGCCAGCCAGCTAGTTCTGTTTTGAATCTTCAAAAACCCATTCTACTTTCTGTCACCTGGCAGCTTCAGGACAATGGAGAAAATGGTCAGATCAGTGAATTCCACAAGAATGAACTTATTGTTATACTTCATTTGTTGTAAAATAAGCTCACTGATCAGAAGTAATGCTTCTGGGCAAAATACCATAATGGTGAATAAGACATCCTGTAGGTTCACAGATGGTGGTTTCCTCAGAAGCATTGTAAGCAGGGGAGACAGATCTATATCCAGAGCAAGTATCTATTTCAGTGAGGACTAAGTGCTGGTCTTTCTTTTTTTTTTTTTTTTTGATTGAAGTGGTCCAGGGACCATATCAGTAGCTTTGTTGATCTCTGCTGTTGGCAGATTGAGCATTCAGCAGTGGCTATAGGCAGATCAGCCTTGGGGAGTAAGTCCATGTTGCTGAATGCATGCATTACCCCCATCCTTGTTGCTCTAACTGTTTAGTTCAGGGAGCCATTGAGTAAGGACAGGGGTGCCTGGGGAAAGAGGCTAATTAACATACATAGATCAGGTCATCCTGTCTACTGATTATCAAAATCTTCATCTGCCGTGGTTACTCTGAGTGAGCATTCACATGGAACTCAAATATCTTTACTCACTGAGCCTGTTTGGAGAGGTCCATTCACCTACCTTTTTTCCAGAGCTCCTTTTCCTAACCAACCAGCCATAGCATTAGTTATTGCACATGAAGCAGTATAGACCTGTACTTCTATCCATGTTTCCTTCTAGGTGAGGTAAACAACAGGTATGGTGTTCAAAGTTCTGCCCACTGGGAAGATTTCCCTACACCACAGTCCTTCAGGGTCACTCCTGAGTGGGGCTCTGGTTTGTAGCTGTTCAGTTTCAAGTGCGAGAATGTTGTGTAGAACCGTTTGTAAACCAGGCCTGTGTTTTTCCTTCCTTGGTCACCTGATCATGGAGACCTTCCCATAGGGCCACAGGTGCAACTGGAAAGGAGGAGGTAATTTAGCAGGACTAGTGGCCATGGGAATTTGAGCCACCTGCCTCTGTAACTTATGTATGCCTGCAGGACCTGTACATCCCTGATCTTGTATATTCTGCTACCCCTTGATGACAGAGTACTGCTGTACACACCCAATTTTGTGGCTTGGTGAGTCAGACAACATACAGTTAATAATGGATAGTTCACATGGTAACTTAGTGATCTGTGGTCAAGTATTGAGTCAAAGCCAGAAGCACTTTCTCAAAAGGAAGACAGTTATCTGCAGATGGTATAACTTTCCTCCAAAATCCTAAAGTTCTGTGTTGTGATTTGCCTATAGGGACCTACCAAAGTCTCCATAAAACATCACTGTCTGCCACAGACACCCTGATTACCATCAGGTCTACTGGGTCATGTGGCCCAAGTGACTGACAGAGCATCCAGGATCTCCATTCAAAGAAGGATTAAAAGTCTGTTTCTGCTCCTGCCCTCATCGGAAGGGCCATTTTCACTAGAGTATGGCATCATGTGATAGAAGATAGGCAGGGGCCTCTGGGATACCAGTGAATATGTATTTTACCCACAGTTGCTATAGCTGTTGCCTTTTATTTTGGCATTTATCTTTAGTATAGTTAAATATAATTAAACATTTTTATTTTTATTTACTTTTTAAAAAGATTTTATTTATTTGAGAGAGAGAGAGCGAGAGAGAGAGAGAGAGAGAGATCATGAACAGGGGGGAGTGACAGGCAGAGGGAGAAGCAGACTCCCCGCTGAGCAGGGAGCCCAATGTGGGACTTGATCCCAGGATCCTGGGATCATGACCTGAGCAGAAGGCACTTACACGACTGAGCCACCCAGGCACCCAAACATTTTTTTAATAATTAAAAATTTTGAGTCAACTTATCAAGTTGAATGTCTGTACTTTTATGAGAGGTTAAAAGAGGTTAAATTAAGAATAAATTTTGGGGGCGCCTGGGTGGCTCAGTCGGTTAAGTGTCTGACTCTTGATTTTAGCTCAGGTCATGATCTCAAGGTTGTGAGATCGAACCCTGTGTCAGGTTCTGCCCTGGGCATGGAGCCTGCTTAAGATTCTTTCTCTTCCTTTCCCTCTGCCCCTCCCCCTCCTCCCTCTCTTAAAAAATAAATAAATAAATAAAGTTTGGGGGAGAGGATTTGCAAACTAAAGATTTATATGTTATATACGGGGGAAAAGTCTGTTTCACTTCTGAAATAGCAAGAGAGATGCATAGTTTATTTTTTTTAAGAAATTTTTGTTTGAACAAATAAATCATTCAGTGTTTGCCTAAATTTTGATTTTGGGTGTGAAATTAGTGTATTACTGAATTTAATTATATTTCATGTTTGGCATAAAATTATTTCAGGTACCTATGAAAGTTTTTAGTCATTTCTTTCTTTGGAACTGTTCCCTGAGTTTTTAAAAGAGAATTTCTACGTTATTGCATGGTGGTACCATTCTACAAATTCTCTTATCTTTGCATTTATCATAGTCTTATTTACATTTTATGTTCTAAGAACAAAAGAATTGCTGACCTTTCAAGTAGGAACTAGTAGATTTCACATAAAAATATTTCGAGTACTTTTGGTATACCTCTAGATGAACCGGAAAGATATTAACCTATTTAGAAGAAGGCATTTTTTTGTTGACATAGCTCTTCAGTAAGGGCTGGAAAGAAAGAATGTCAAGATGTAGTTCTGAGGCTTCAGAAACAGGTTTTATGAGAAAGAAGTCTAGGGACAGGAAATTACCTGGAGCAAGGGGGGCACTAATTTTAATTTTTAATTAAATTTTTCTTATGTAATCTGTAAGAATTAAAGAGATGGGAATTAGAGTGTGGTAGGGAGTTGGGGTTAAATGAAATCATTTAGGAAATAGGGTGACAAATTGGCTAATGCTGGCAGGGTAGAGCAAAAAATATGCAGATGATCACAAAATACAATTTATGGGAAAATATAGCAGCCTAAGATTAGTAGTCTCCTAGTCATTAAAGCAAACCTTAACTATAGTGTGTGTTCTCGGTAAATGTGGATTGAAAGGATGAGATTTCAAAAGTAGCCTCAATTTACAAAGTACATATTGATCAGGAAGGAGAAATTGGTTGGTGGGTTGGAGTTGAGCAAGATTATTGAGTGGGAACCAACCTGAGAGTAACAGGGTAGTTACTCATAGATACGACAGAAGTTGTCTGAAATACAGAGGAGGCCATATTGGTGGGAGCCATCCATTTAAATGAAGTTTGCTTCTTAATACAGCGAATAGTTAAGTTTCATGGTAGGTCTTAGTAAAATAGGGGTGTGTGTTTGTCTAACTTAAGTATCCTTGCAACGTCAATGATTGTACCTCTAAAGTATAAAATTTAAGGTGACATCTTCTGTGCTAGTACCCTAGGTTTCTAGCTGCTACCTAGACGCTGAAGAACTTATTTTGCTGATACTTGCACTTAATTTCTTCTTTTAAAAGAAATAAAAAGAAAAAAGTCCATTTCTGTACCCTTACTATCCTTTCTATCACCTCTTTTCCCTCCTTGACCTATTTTTCTCCTCTCTACTTGCTACTGTTTATTTTCTTTTGCACTAGGGAGAGGAGGTTCAGTGTCAGTATGTTGTGACATGTGCAGGACTTTACTCGGACCGTATTTCAGAGTTGAGTGGCTGTAATCCTGATCCTCGAATTGTACCATTCCGGGGAGATTACCTGCTCTTGAAGCCAGAAAAATGCTATCTTGTAAAAGGAAATATTTATCCGGTAGGTAATGATGCTTCTGCCTTCTCACCCTTCTCCAGATGGCTGTGGGCAAAAAGGGAACGAAACAAAAACTTTTACTTGGGTCAGAAGTTAAGAGCTATTTTGAAGTGCTTTTTGAACAAGCATTTCACCTGTTTCTCTTGTCATTAAATCCCTAAATCTTTATGCTGAAATCATGGTAATGAAATTGTAATTAAGTGCCTACAAGTGCATGTCTCTAGAAAGCAGAGTGTACCATGGGAGGGACTATGAAGAACCCAATTCCTCCCTCTCTCTGGTGGAAGGAGCACATAAGAGAACTTTCCCTTATAGCATGCCCAGATACCCAGCTGAGAAAGGTCTCAGTTGAGGATAGATAGGTGCAGAAAAGGGGATGTGACCACTCTGTAGTTTCATGGTATAGACAGAGCCATTTCCAGGAAGAATTTATTCTTCTCTCTGGAACTACTAGGTAGTTGAACCAGATGAAATTGCCACTATTCAGCTATTTAATGTTTTTGATGGTGCCAAAACATACATTTTATCTGCTTCAACCTAATGCATTTCCACTTTCTAGAAGCCTGTACTATAAATGAGTGTTTTTTCCTGGCAGCTCTGATTTTACTTGCCAGCCACATACATTCCTAGTTGTGGGTGAGGGGCTGGGGAGTGGGGAATAACCTGAACTAGGACAGTTCTCTCTCTCTCTCTCTCTTTTTTAATCCAGAAAGAGGAACACATGCGACAGTATATATTAGTATCAATAGCATCACTGTTTCCTGTGTGGCAATTCTAGGCAGAAGCGTGTTATATAAATATAGAAAAGAATATCTGAATAACAGATCAAAAGTAATGCAACTTAAATGCATCGGAAGAAAGTGTTTTATATTACTAGTTGAGTGTTTGCATATATAATAGAATGTAATATGAAATGATAACTCTCCCATGTTAAATCCGTAGGTCCCAGATAGCCGGTTTCCTTTCCTAGGGGTTCACTTCACACCGAGGATGGACGGCAGTATTTGGCTAGGGCCTAATGCGGTTCTTGCCTTTAAACGAGAGGGCTACAAACCCTTTGACTTCAGTGCCAGAGATGTTATGGATGTAATTATCAAGAGGTAACTTTATTTATGTAAAAAAAAAAAAGATTTTATATGCTTATATTTTTAATGTGGGAAATTTTATCTTTCTTGATATTCTATTTATTGGGTAAATCCTCGTATTTGTAATTGGGATATTGATTTTTTTTTGTTAATCTAGATTAGGAGCTTTGTGGAATAAACATAATGTTTTAACTACTTCAAGAAAATTCTAGGATGCCTAGGTTTCTCAGATGGTTAAACGTCTGCCTTTGGCTCCGGTCATGATCCCAGGGGCCTGGGATGGAGCCCGCATTGGGTTCCCTGCTCACTGGGGAGGGTGCTTCTTCCTCTCCTTCTGTCATTCCCTCTGCTTGTGCTCTCTGGCTCTCTCTATCTCTCTGTCAAATAAATATTTAAAAAAAAAAGAAAGAAAGAAAAAAGAAAATTCTGATGAGCCAGGGTAGTGTCTTGGTCAAAAAGAACAAGACCAAGAGCCAAACACATATCTGACAATCCACATCTTGTTTGGCTAATCTTCTAGTTGAGTTTGAAAAAAAAAGTTCTTTCAAAATTAGTAGATGCCTTACATTGATAAGATCATTTCAAGCCAGTCACCATTATTTTGAAAACCACTGGAGAAATTGCTGATAACCAAAGTTGTTTCCTTTCGTGGAAAACTAACAAATTGTGTTAACCTAGATGGCAGATTATTTATTGTTGTAAAGAATAATTCAGTGAGGTATTTTGTTTGGTCCTTTTAACAGTGTTGCACTCTAGAGGGTTTCACATCAAAATCACTAGAAAGCTTGTCAGGCTGTACTCGAATTTCACCCTTACTGATTCTGAAACAAATTTTAGGATGGGGCTTCCTAGCATGTGTGCTTATAAAAGCACATATATGTACACACAGGCTCCGTAGAGTCTCACTTGAGGATCTGGAGTATCTTCCCTCTGGCTGACTAAAGAAAAAGAGAGTAGATACTCCATTTGCTTATTGGCTCTGATTTAAAGGTCTGTTACCTTTTAGGTATGGTTTTGAAAGCGTGTACCATTTGCATTAGAAAACCTTGCTTTTGGCAGGCTTTATAGAATTCCAGTTTGAAACCAGCATTCCCTGGGAATTTAAGTTTGGAAGGTATTCATTCCTTTGATGAAGTTTCCTTCTTATATTGACCAAAAATTGATTTTCTTTTAATACATGATTTTTTTTTGATTTTGCCTATATTTCTGTGATGGCACCCCCCCCAAATCTCATAGTTGTAAAGATGTTTTATAGTAATAAAGAATTGCTTTCTCTTATAAAGATTTTTTTTTTTTTTTTTTTGCTTTCAGTGGCTTGATTAAATTGGTGTTCCAGAATTTTTCCTATGGAGTTAACGAAATGTATAAAGCCTGTTTTCTCAGTGCAACAGTGAAGCACCTTCAAAAGTTTATCCCTGAAATTACTGTCAGTGATATACTGAGGTAAGGAAAAACTGTGAGGATTGCAAATATGGTCATGACCTAGGTGACCCTGGGAGGTCGTTCTGACTTGGTGATTTATAAGCACACTTGCAGAGTCCAAGTGCCCACTGAATCTTTGTGTGTTCTCTCTTTCCCAGCAAGCTGTTGAGTTCCCTTTGCAGTGTAGGCATCAGGGCCTTGCTGCATCCTGGCCCTTAGTGCCCGGACTAGGTGCATTTATAACTTTCTAGACTACCTTACAGCATTAAACTCAAATGTCCACTGCAGCTATATTGTGATGCCACCTTCACCTTCATGTCTAGCTGTCACTCATGATAAAAACATCTTGCCTGAAATTTTTTAATCTCCCTGGCTACTCACTATTGTCATTGCAAAGGCTTTTGATTTTAATTCTGTATAACATCATCGATCACCATGTTAACTAGGTAAGAAACACAGAAAACATTATATTTTGATTGCATTTTACAACCTTTTAGATATCCTTCTATACATGACATCTTCCTTTCTTCCTCTTTTGTTCTTTCTTGGTCCTACTCCACAACAGGGATTGTAGTTGCAGGCCAGAAGTGGGAAGTAGTGTGGTAACAGTCAGTCTGAGTCCTAGTGCTCCAGGGATGTGAGGCCAAGGAAGGATAACTTAAAAAGGAAGGATAACTTTTTTTTCAAGGATAAAAGGCTCTCTGGACTTGAGCTGTACATTGTCCTAAATAAAAGCCTATTTTCTTCTTCTCTTTGGTGATATTTTAGGGTGTTCACCATTTTTCCTGACTAAGCTATTGTTAGGCCTAATCAGCAATGTACTTTGAAGTACTCTCCGTCCGTGAATCCAACTCTCCATGAATCTCTAGGGTACTGAGTGTGTCTTCTCAGTAACAGCTGCTGAACTTGCCTGGAAAGAGAGCAATAATCATGTCAGCTGTCTCCCTTAGGGGAACTGAGCATCATGGTCTAAATCTGACTCTAAGGTATCATTCTCAGCCCAGCCTCTTTGAATCCTTGGAAGAACTATTAAAACCTAGCTAATGTTTTTACTCTTATCTCTCTCACTCCTTCTACTTACCTCCTGAAATGGAAGGGATAAAAATATCTAGGCTTTCTTTTCTTTCACTCACCTATAAATAAAGGCTTCTGTGTTTTCAGTGGTCTGCTTTAGCAGACTCCTTATGTTTTATATCTGAAAATAGATTGGTCAGATCTGGTATCTGTTATTGCTATTAATATTCCTTAAAAAACACAATAATAGGTGGGGGCACCTGGGTGGCTCAGTCAGTTAACCATCTGTCTTCGGCTCAGATCATGATCCCAGGGTCCTGGGATGGAGATCCATGTTGGGCTCCCTGCTCAACAGGGAGTCTGCTTCTCCCTCTGCCCCTCCTCCCACTCATTTTCTTAATCTCTCTCTCTTTCTCTCTCAAATAAACAGATAAATTTTTTTTAAAGATTTTATTTATTCATTTGAGACACAGAGATAGAGAGAGAGAGCATGAGCAGGGAGAGAGGCAGAGGGAGAGGGAGATGCAGGCTCCTCACTGAGTCAGGAGCCCAATGTGGGGCTGGATCCCAGGACCCTGGGATCATGACCTGAGCCATAAACAGATGCTTAACCATCTGAGCTACCCAGGCACCCCTAAGTAAAATTTTTAAAAAAACAAAAACAGAAAAGCCCACAATAGGTGGACATAGTGAATTCTGTATATGAACAGTTGCAGTGAATTCACTACCATATTCTATTACCACACTTTCATAGAAGGGAAAACTCTTTAGACCAGTGGATTTTATATGGTAGAACTGGGTTTTGGTGAGTATCCCTATCTCTGGGTATAAGGGTGTGAATTTCATTTTCCAGATTCATTAGCATGTAGCAGAAAAGGGCACACAGCACTGTAGACAGGTACATTTAGGGACAAATTCAACCTAATCAGAGGGTTTCTCTTTGGAGATGGAGAAGCTGAACACATTCAGCAATTTCATATACTCCTTCCCTTGATTCCTGTAGCTATTAAAAGAAGGAAATTATCAGTAGCAAAAGGGAAGTTGTAGAAAATATGTTTGATACCATTTATATGGCTTAAACAATACCATATATAGTTTATGGATTGTATATGTCCTGTGAAAATAGTAATGAGCATGGGAGTAATAAGCACCTAATTCGGGAGAGTGGTCACCTCTGGGGAGAGAAGGGGATGGGGTCAGAGTTCCATAGGTGGCTTCTGTCATATCTATGAGCTTTATTTCTTCAGCTGTTTAGTAAAAGAAAAAAAAAATAGGTGTTTATTATGTTATTCTCTGTACCTCTTTATATACCTGCAATATTAAATAATAATAATAAAATAAGATCACTAGACTCTTCCACATTTTGAAGCTCAAGTCCTGCCTGTCTTGCAGCTCAGTGTAGTAAAACCATAAATGCTCTATCATTAATATTGAGGCAGAAGCATATTAAGCAGTTTTAGATAGTCAAAGAGAACTGAAGCTGCACTTTTCAGTGTGATATTTAGCTTAAGATAGTGTCCTTAAATTGCCACCGAAGGGCATCTAGCTTGACTTCTTACTGCTTAGCCAGAGCATTTGGGGCAATAATTTACTGGTGAACATTGGATTGGAATGTAAAGTTATAATCTGTCAAATACGTGTACTAGGTATAATCTGTCAAATACATTTCTCATTGTTAAGTGATGATTTCTAAGGTTCTTAATTTTAACTCAAGTCCTTTCATTTGTTCTGTGATTAATTTTGACATGGTAATTTAAGTTTTTATCTGTTAGTACTGTAAGAGTGGAAAAGATGAAGACACGTATGCCAGGATCCCCACTTTTTCCCACATTTCATTTTTAAAAATGTCTTATTTGGGGAATTTTAGAGTAAATTTTCAGGCAAGATGTTTTCATGGTGAGTGATAGCTAAAGACTATATACTATGTCATTGTGAAAGGCAAGGTGAAAGCCAAACATTCCTACAATTAAGGTGATCTAGATCAAGGTTTCCCAATCTTGGCACTTTTGAAATTTTGGTCCAAATAATTCTTTGTTGTGGGGGACTGTCCAGTTCATTATGGAATGTTTAGCAGCATCTCTGGACTTTACCCACTACTCTACTAGTTAAAACCAAAAATGTCTCCAGACATTGCCAAATGTCCTCTAGGGGGCAAAATCTCCCTTGGTTGAGAACAACTAGTCTAGAGAATTCAGCAACCCTCACACTACAAAATACTCAAGAGTCAGGAGAAAATATAAAAATCCCTTGAAATACGTTATAGTTGTGAATGCAACAAAGTAAGGAGCATCCCAGGAGCAAAAACAAAGAGAAATTTGAAAACCCGTGTACTAAGAATTGGTACTGATGTTATTCTGGGTAGGAGGGGGGTAGATTTGCTGATTTTCATGCAAATATAACTGAGCTTTATTTTTATTTGATACATGATTTACATACAGTAAAATATGCAGATCTTAAGTGCTCAATAGATTTTGGTGGTTGTATAAGCTCATGTATCCACCACATAAAGCAAGGTATAAAACATTAGGGACTTAATTTTAATTGCTACTCAAGTGCTGGGAAGGAGGCCTGTCTATAATAGGTAAAAACTTGGAACTGAGACCCCTGTGTAAAGCCAGGGGCTCTTGAAGGTCTATACCTTCAGTGAAGAGAAAGTCTAGAAAAAAAAAATCCTCTTGGCACCAGAAAGTGTTAAGGAAAATTTTGTCTGTCCTGGTCTTGGGGGTAGGGGGAGTGTGTGTCGGGGGTGGTGGTGGGTGGAATCTCCTAAAAATCTAGAAGCTTGGGCCTGCCCTCACAAATGCTTAGAGTTTGAATTTATACTACCATCTTGATCTAGGAGCCTTAAGCTGAGAAATTAACTTAAAAAGTAGATCCAGGAGTGCCTGGCTGGTTCAGTTTATAGAACATGAGACTCTTGATCAGGTCATGAGTTCCAGCCTCACGTTGGGTGTAGAGATTACTTTAAAAAAAAAAAAGCAGGTCTAGATTTGTTTGGATCCTTCTTCAAACTAACCATTTCTCCCTCTCTCACTTTATTTTTTTTTAAAGATTTTATTTATTAGAGAATGAGAGAGAGAGAAAGCACATGAGAGGGGGGGAGGGTCAGAGGGAGAAGCAGACTCCCTGCCGAGCAGGGAGCCCCATGCGGGACTCGATCCAGGGACTCCAGGATCATGACCTGAGCCAAAGGCATTCGCTTAATCAACTGAGCCACCCAGGCACCCCTCCCTCTCTCACTTTAAACAAATTAGAGAGACAGGGTAATTTGACCACAGACTGAATATTGTTGATACAAAACAGTTATTAGTTTTGAATTATTATTTTTAAGAATCCTTTTAAAAGAAATGAAGTGAAATGGTATGCTATCTGGTATTTGGTTTAAAATAATGCAGTTGAAAAAAGGTGGATAGTGAGTGGAGATGTAGATGAAACAAGATTAGCTGTGTGTTGATTATTGTTGAAGTTAGGTAATATATAGATACCAGTTCATTATGCCATTCATTTTACTTTTGTATGTGTTTAAAAATTTCCATTAAAAACAAAAGTTCTTTGAGGATGGTAATACCCCTGGAGCACCAGATAGAAGCAAATGTAAAACCTCTACAGAGGGACATAACTTCAACCCAACCCTATAGATTTCTCCTAGATAAAGTCCTGCTGTTCTGAACAGGACCTTGCCATCAAAAGTTATAAAGCACCGTAAGTGAGAAATAAGCAGACAGAATAAATACCAGAATTAGTGTAATAACTTTGGTTAATAGTAATGTTAGACCATAAAGTAACCCAGTGAATTTAAATGGATAATAGTAATATCAGAAACCATAAAATAACCTAGTAACTTGAAAACATGAAAAAAGAATAAGACTCCCTCCCCCAAAAATCTGGGCAAATTTGGAAACCAACTAATTAGAATTTCTATAAATGAAGAATATAGTTCTTAAATTTTAAAACTCAAATGACTAAGTTAGATAGTTGGTTAGACCTACCTTAAGAGAAAATAAATA